AATTCTCACAGCCAGCTAAAATGTTAAGGTGGGATATGAGCCACTGCTTAACAAAACAGACTACACATTCCCTCACCCACCCACCCAGAGAAAGCCACTAGAAAGAGCATGGAGCTATTTTCCATTCTAGTATTTCACTGACTTGGGTAAAAGAAAAGGCATCCCAAGCATTTTTGCCTCCGTCCTCTAGCTGTAAAAGAAATAGTACACTTTGTTCTTTCCATCAAGCCATCCCCTAGATTTTATAACTGGTTTAACAGAAGCTATTGACAATATTCTCCTGGCTACAAACAGTGCCTTGGATCAGAGCGGGACATCATAAAATTTAATTTCTTCTGTTGCGGGGTAGGATGGGGAAAATGGAAAGACCTTCACAATGCCTGTTTATCTCCTTATACCTGAAGGAGATATATTGAAGGAAATCCTGTTGCACAATTATGCAACACAGTGTAACTTTTAGAGGAGAACTGGCATAAGTTAAGAAATATCCATAGGCCACATGATTCAGTATATAAGAAGGAAGGTCTATAGAGAGGTCTTAACCTACATCAATTTTCTTCCAAAACTGTTTGCTTACCTGTGTGACAGGATTTCAGTCATTATGAATATTTCTTATTTCTGCTTTTACTTTAAATGTTAAAGGAAGCCCTATTTGTAAGTAGCGTCATTTTGAACTCCTATCAGGCTGACTATCTAAGAGATGTTAGGCACTCCCACCAGATCTCCAAATATGAAACCAAAAACAAAAGCTTGGTTCAAAAATACTTGCACAGCTGTTTTCTGCTCTTCCAAGTACCGAAATGGCTAAGGAAGCTCCTAAGGCATGGGCTCCACATAGTTTCACAAGGTTTTGGAAGAACACACTGCCCTTCTACAAAAATAGTTTGGCCACAAACTCATTCATTGCCTGTTTCCTTTGAAGTAAGCAGTATGCTTACAAGAACTATAATATTTAGGCTACAGGGGCATCACTAACGGGACGCAAAAAACAGGACTTCTTAATTCTTTTTGGAACCATGCCTTGCCCCCAACTCCATCTCAATAGTATCTTGGCCAACACCTGGCGCTGCTGGTATTTCAGGCCAAAAAAATAATAATCAGTGTTTTTGGCAGCAAAGAATGTCAGGGCTTTCAGTGAACTGAATGTTCAAATAAAATACTTATACCAATACAAATAATAGTATGCACAAACTGAGAAATAAGCCATTCATTACTATGTAATCAGAGATACTCAAGGACATGAGCTGGAAGTAAACTCTGAGTAAAAATGCCAAGTGGATGAGAAGAAAGTCATTCAGAGTTTGAGAAGAAGCCAGTAAGAGAAAATTCATCACACCACCAACATTCAGAGCAGGAAACTTATATCAGATTGAACCGATTTTTGCATTGATGAGGGAGTTGGATTCAATGGCCTACGGGGCCCCTTCCAATGCAATTATTCTATGACTCTATGATTTTCTAACAAAATTTGCAGAACGTAACTTGAAATCTAAGCTTCTCCCCACAGCAATTACTTATGTGTATGTATGTTTTTCTCTGTGTGTATACACTCTCTCACACACCCCTTCATGGCTATCAGTATTAATAAATAAACCCATAATGACTGAAACAACCCTTCATCAGAACCTATCTGCCAAATTAACTATCTAGAAATGGCAAATTTAGAAGGTCAGCATAAGAATAATAGTATGGGAGGGATTAGATTCAACTGTTTCTTAATGTTTACGTCTAACACAATGAAGGACAGGTTGCAGCCTTCAGATATGGCTAAACACCATTTTCAGTTTTTTTTTTTAAAGTTGATTTTCTGGGAGTGCATGTGTGGAATTAAATCTAACCTGCCTCTTCAGACATTGCTGGGCTCCAAGTCCCAGCATTCCTCACTGCTTGCTAGGGAATGATGGGAACTAGAGTCTAACAACACTTGGACTTTGCTATTACTGTATTCATATGCAGTACAGTAGAACCACTGTATCCACAGAATCAGTAACTGTGGTTTCACTTATATGCTGCCTGAACATATTAAGTAACAAACCCTAGAAGTACGTGTTTCCAAGGTGTACTGGCCACTAGAGGTAACCTGAGAATATGCTCTATATAGTATAGAGTTTCTATACAGTATTTGCACTTCCTGGCATCTGCGTTGGGGGGCCTTGGAACCCATCCCTCATGGTTACTGTGGTCCTACTATATGTAAAGTGAGAGAAAAGAGAAATTGGGATGGACACGGCAGACTCAATGACGTCTACCAGAAAAAAGTTTGTGTTCATATTTATTTAAGACATTGTGACAATCTAACAGCCTCGAAAGTTGGAACTCAATTTTATGACAGCCAGTACGACCAACTCAAGTTTTTGACTGCTGAATTATGTGTACGTAGTTGGAGACTGAGGTCCTTCCCCACTCTTGAAGGAGAGGCTTGAACCAAATTACCACCTGCCCAATATTTTCTTCCAAAGTTTTTCTTCTATTATTCAGCCTGTGGGCCTGTGTTTACTGGCATAAACTTACAATTCTGGCTTTCAACCTGGCATTGATTTGGTGGTGCTGGGGAATACTCAAGTGCATTCCCCCCCCCCATATCTCAAAGCATTTTTTTCTCTGACATACACAGTTTTGGAAACTTGTATGATGAGGGACCACTACAGGGGTGCAGTTTGGAGCACAGAAACAGGAAGGGTGTCTTCCCTCTTGATTTGTTTAAATCCTCTCCTGAGGTTGCTCTGCTTATTTAAAAAAGGCACTGTGGTATAGTCATAACCAATTCTCTCCAGCATGTACTGAGTTACTTAAAAACACAATGCACCAAAGCCCTCTTTTCACAGAACATTCACACTGTTAGGAAAATCTGTGAGTTATTTCTTCCAACAACTTATGTTCATAATCTATTTTTATTCCGATCTGCTTATAGTTTTGTCTGTCGATCTGATAATACATTCGAGACATAAAAATGGAACAGTGAAAAGTTACCAGAAAATCTGGAAAGGGGTATATGTCCATCCTAACTACCACTGCAAGAAAACTATTGTTGCAACAATATTCTTGAAAAATTACATTTTAGGACTGCAGCTCTCAGAATGCTTCAGTCAGCATGGCCAACAGAAAAGTAACTTCTAAATTCTCTGACCTATACAGTATGTATGTACTCTTTATCCTGTCTATATTTCGGAGAGGTCAAAGTTCAGTGACAGGTCAGATGTTTTACACACAGAAGTCTCATGTGTAGACCCTGCTACCTCCAGCTAAAAGGATGTCAAGAAGTCTATTGTTGTGATTCTTCACTCATATCCAACAAATACCTTTGTGTGGGGTAGGAGAACACATCCTTTCTTTCTTTCTTTCTTTGCAAGGGTCTATTTGTTTGCCAACTCTATTCCTTATTTAAAACATTCGCACATCACATTTCTACTGAAATGATGAAGGTGGCTTACAAAAATTTAAACAGGAGGATTATAACATGAGACCAGATTATTTTGATGGAAACTGTCACATATTTGACTTACAAGCACAACACAATGGCTTCATTAGTGCCCTAGCCTGTTTGCAGCTCATCTCCATCTGACAACTATCTAAGAAAAATAATCACCATCCCCAAGTTTTCTCCAGAAGCAGACAGCATCTGAAGACCTGACTAGCTAGCGAGAAGTTTCAATGGCTACACTCAATGCTACTGCATGGCCAGTCAATTACTGGCTTTCTATAAATGGAGAGTAAGATTTGACTTCCCTGTAGAATACATAGCTCCTCTCTGCGAGAGGCATATAGTGGAGGCCTTAACTAGAACGTGATAATGAGCAGACAGGAGAGCAGAGACGGAGAACAGCTCGAGCTTGCTATCGTTAGATCTACAGAAGGGGGAAAACATGCTATCAGGCCAATCTTTTATGAATAATTGATACGGCAAGTCAGTGCAATTATATGCTAGTAGGGTAAGATTTCTACAATTAGAAAAACACAAACAAAACAAAAACAAACCAACAAGCTTTAAGCAAGATGACATAATGCGCAGAAAAGGAGATACCAGCACACATGCCACCCTGGAATAAAATACAGTTGCTATTGTGTTCAGAGTTCAGGAAAATACTGAAAGGCAAAAATCAGCCGCCACATTAATTTGCTGATGACTGAGAAAAATACAAACATTGTTCCTGCGAGTTTCCCCACTGTCGCTATGCTGACTTACTAGCAATGTAAAAGTAGCATTTTGTTTCAACCTGAGTCCATAAACAGATACATTTAAAATAATTAATGCAATGGAAGTTAAAGAAAAAAATACCATGCAATGTTTAGAACCAACTGGCTAGAAATGGAGGAAGGAAACTGCAAAGGTGGGAATATGATCTATGAAAACATGTATATTCACACATTGTAGCCCCTACTCTCAACTATGTTTTTATTTCTCTAGAGTACATAGAGAAAATTGCTCCTAAGTGTTTCTTGGTTCCTATAACTTGAATACTCATACAGAAAATCTTGCTCTAACATTTATTTTCTTTTGTATTCAACCTTTGGCTTCCATGAGCCAAAGTACGAGGTGCCCAAAACTTGTAGACAGAAGAGTTAAATGTATGGTATGTAACTCAGTCTTCCTTGGTCTGAGCTCAGCAGCATCTTCCACCATGTGGCTCACTGCAGCCTGAAGGAAGAGCTAGTAGCATCCTTTTAGAAGGGCTAAGCTAAGAGCTGTGTGTTGGGTCTAGTGTATCCTTTGTGAGTTGTTTGTGTTTTTGACTTTGAAGCACTATGTGAAAGAACATCTCACTTCAGCCCAAATGTGCAACTAGTGAGATCTGGACAGGTTAAGTTATGTGTAAGAAATGGTTCTGAGTCTTTTGTTTATTGAAAAAAAATACATTCAGATTAAAGCAGAAGAATGGCTACTGGCTCTGTGACAGGAGAGTCAAATCTTCATAAACCTGAAAGAGAGGGGAGGAAAAAAAAGCGACACAAATGCGCCCTACAAAAGAACAGACCAGATCACAGCTGGAAGGAAGGCAAACCTTTTAATCAGGTCCTTGAAATACAAGCTGCAGGAAGCTAGAACATTTTGGTGGACTTCAAACTCTTTGCCTTCAACAATAATTTTCAGGTCTGTAAACTCTTTCGCTCTGCGTTGCTGGTTCAACTCCTTCAACATTTCTGCAGAACAGAGAAGACAGACAGTGCCAGGATTCCCATTAAGAGTTTTTTTTATTTTATTCTTTAAAAATAAAATAAAAACAAAAATGAAAACAAGGAAAAGTAGAGAAAACAGGAAACGCTTGATAGTCTTTGTTGGCAAGACTGGCTCAACGTGGACATTCAAAGAAATCACAAATATAATAATATTATGCAGATAAATAGATATGCTTATAAAAGCAAGAAACAGTCGCTCTAGAAATAACTCAAAATCCTACATTTCAAAGAGAAAAGATGTTTTCTTACATCAGTAAATTAGAAACACAAAGAATAAATTACCACAGAACAGTTAAAAATAACTTCTTGGAACAGAATGCAAGAGCTATTGCTTTATCATCTCCAAACAGAAATGGCTTTTAAATGTTTTGGAATTAATACTGAATAAAAAACATGACACTTATGATGCAGTATGAACTTGACATGTTTCAAAGGAAAAAAAATGCAAAGCTTGAGAAAATCCTTATCTTATGCATACAAGAGAAGGCCTTAAAATTGCTTCAAACGACATGTTTATTCAGTGAGGAGGCCCATTATTGATAACAGTTAAATTCTCAAAGCAGTAGGCAACCATTCTGTCACATTAAATATCTTGCTAAAAACACACAAAATCACAACTGTCATACAATTGTGGCCATTTATTCTCAGGATTTCTATTGTCATTCTTCAGCCCTGAGTTTAGTTTTTAGAATTAGTTTATAATACCAATTCATTTCAACACAGGAAAATTTAAAACCACCTCTAAAAGCCAGCATTAACACCTTCCAGTAGTTCACTTACCGTGCATATAAACTCCTGACTCTCACCTCTTTTACCATCAGAGAGTAAATCAGCAACCTGACCCAGTCCATACATAGTTGTGAAGGTGGTAAACAACCCCATGATGAATCATTTCCTAACTAATGTACCAGAAAAGTGAGTAAGGCAGATGTAACAGAGTTTCAATATATGTGTAATTTAAAGTTGTGTAAAAGATTCAGGGATGCTGTATGGACCAAGATGGCAAAAGTAGATATTGACCAGGAAGATGTTCTAAGACAGAGAACATGGTGCATTTTCTAACAGAATGCCCTCTGTACTATAATTATTTATTATTATTCAGAAATACCAAACAATCAAAATTATAAAAACAATGACTGTTATTATATAATAGATAGAAGTTTTAACTTAAAACCTAAGTTATCTGTTAAATTGTAATAATCTGTAATAAACTGTAATAAACTTTTGGGTCATATATATGAACTCACTGCTTGCTTCACAATCTCTACCAGTTAATTTTACAATTTGATACTAGCTTGAGAACGCTTGTTTCATTATTTTACACTCTTCTGATATATGAACTATTATCTTTTAGCTACCAACATGAACTTGACCCAACTCCGGGAGGCAGTGGAAAACAGGAGGGCCTGGAATGCTCTGGTCCATGGGATCACGAAGAGTCGGACACGACTAAATGACTAAACAACAACAACAACATTATCTTTTAAGGGTGGTTTGAATTCTGTTCATATGTACAGCCTGACTGGCTATAAAACAATAAAGTACTCAAGTAAGTAAGTGTGTAATTTAAAGTTGTGTAAATGATGATGATTTCAAGTCGTGTAAGTGCTGATTTCACATTTTTTCAAATATAGATTTTATCAAGTGTTCTACATTTGTAGTAGGTCAAGATCCTCCTTTTCTTCAAAGACTCAGATACTTGCAAGGAATGGCTCTGCCGTTAGGCATTGTGAAGCAGTGGCCATAGGCAGCAAATCATTGCTATTTTGGTGCATTATGACTCTGTCGACTAGACTGTGTAGAGACATTTGTGAGATGTTCTGCCTCAGGTGCCAAAATAATGTAATTGGAAGGGGATATTTGTTGCTCTGCTTTAGGCAATAAAATATCCTGCTATGGCTCTAGAGGATTGCTTAAAACTTAAATGATACTGTTCTTCTGCAAATGTATATCAGAGAGATATAAATTTGACCTTAAAGTACAGTATATCTGTCATTCCCATATTAGAGGAAATGGAAAATCAGGCATCTATAAATAAATAAATCCATATTTTATTCATAATTATGGCTAATCCCAAAGTGATGCCTTGCCAACATATCTTATTAGGAGGGAAAATAACAGGAATTAAAAGAGGCATCAGCATCTCAAGTGTACAAATACTTAAATCGTGTGTTGGTCATATCTAGTGAAAAATCAAGCCAAGCCCAATACAGGCAACGAATATTTTTCAGGTCTGAACAACAAAATGTTGCCCAGCACATTTGTGTCTATTTAATGTAATCGCAATGGTGTCTGAAAGGCTAATTATTCTGCATTGAAATGGGTCAGTATGTTCTCTCAAGAGGAGGAGGATCATTAAAGAAAGTACAGAAATAACAGCAGGCCTGTGACAGCTCTATATTACAGGAAAATAAACACTGTCTCGGGGTTCTACATCATGAACTATTTTAGAAGTACTGGATTCATTTGAGCTTAAATGCAGCAACATGGTACGAATACAGAGACCAATTTTAATTGGGTAAAACAGGTTATAAGTTTGAAAGCTCTGAAACTCCATCCTGTAGTAATTTTGAGATGACTACAGCAAAACCAACAGAAGCCCTGAGCTGTCCAAGATTTGGACAAAGCATCAGTGCAGCTAACACATCAGTAACTGAGAGATGGGCAGCATTTCTATGAATGGTGGAATTCAGTGCTCAGGAGACGGACCCGATTCACTAAAAAATCAACTTGTTCCTTAACCCATTACAATTTTTAAAACATGTTTCCCATTGTTTACTGGCAAATGTGTTAGCACTTTGAATATCAACTACTTTGTTATGGGGGGGGTGTCACATTTTGGGAGAATATGCTATTTCTGGTTCGTTTCTGATTGTGCTTTTTTTTAAAAAAAGCAACATCATTGGTATGTTACTACAGTAATTATTAATTATGTTAACATTCACTACAATAATTAACTGCAACGTGTTAGCTAACATTTCTGAACCCTGGAATTTAGTTAACAGCGGGAATATATGGGGTTCGTAAAGTCAACAAGTTTACAAAAACAAGCGTAGGCAGAACAGACTCAAGGGCAGAAGCAATGAGACACTGAATGCCAAAGAGGGAGACACATGCCAATTCTCTGATTTCCGAGACGGAACCTGGAAGCACATTGTATGAATGCACAAACCAGAGGAAAGACCAAGTACTGTTTTGGAGAGGCAGCGCGAATCCATAATAGGTGCCTGTCTCATTGCCATCACAGTCCCATCCCTTCCGTTCTCACTGTCTGTAATTTCATCCCACGCCACATTCCACAAGCAGCTGGTTGGGTAGCTCAATGAGTTGGATTGTCCAGCTACAAAAAGAAAGGTCAAGGGCCTGACCCCCTCCCCTTCCTCCCAAGAGAAGAGACAGCCTGTGTAGCCTTGGGCAAGCTGCACACTCCCAGGGTATTCCAGGAAGAAGGGAATGTTAAATCACTTCTGAGTATTTGCTACTTAGAATGTTGGGATGGACTTGAAGGCACATTATTAAATAATGTACAGTACTGTATACTGCATAGACTGTATATCTAACATTCTGAGACAGGATTGTTACTGAATTTGCACAAATGGCTATTCAGAAACTCCTTGTTCAGGCAGAAGCTTTGTTTGTGTCAACAGTGTGCAGCATCAAACGTGAGCTCATACAGAGCTCCAGCACAGGAGATTTAGAGTCTGCCTGAGAGCAAAAGGATTCTGTCCTTAGGCACCACAGAATTCCAGTGCTTTAATTCTGAAATTGCATTGCCCATACCAGATATTTTCTATCACCTCCCTACTACTGTGGCAAGTTTTTAATATATATAACATCCATCTTCAAGAAGAATCCTGCCAAGCCTGTGGACTCTTTTCCAATATTTCTGTTAGTCCTAATAAAGGTATAGTATTATACCATCAATATTTCGCTGTTCTTTTTCTTATCAAATGTATGAAGACATATGGAAATTGCAGTAAGCACCCATTAAAAACAAAATGAGCTACATTTTCAACTATCTGCACTGGTCAAATCCAGTATTCAGCTATTCCCACGATGAAGAGAAAAGCATGCTGCGCAGGGTGCCATGTCGTCAGAGGGAAAAGACTGCAACAGCATAATAAACACGACTGAAAATATAGAGACTTGAGACTGTATTTTTAACAGCTATGAGTTTGGTGTCCTTTGCATGGATTGGTGAATTTGCTAGTTCTCTTTTTGTCTACATCTATATGTTTTAATCTTCTCATATTATTTCTATCAAATGTGTGAAGAAATGGGGGAATTCTGGAAGGTGATAATGGAAACGAAACAAACACATTTCTCAATAATTTTAATGGCTTTTATGCCTTATTTTTCAATTAATCTGTTTTATATTTAGCTGTCTTTGTTTTATTTAATGTACTGTGAGCCTCCTTCAGCCCCATTTTTGAGAGAAAGGCAAAGTACCAGTCTAATGAAAATTAAGCTAAGAGGAAATGGAGGAGGAGAAGGAAGAGAAGAATGATTTTTTAAAAAGGTGATGGAGAGAATAGAATGTATCAGTGCAGATTCCACTTGTGCCGCCAGAACAATGGGCAGCATTTCTATAAACTCTTGGATTCACAGAAATACCAGCACATCTTCAGAGGTTACATACAAGCACAGCAAACAACAGGTTATCTGTTCATGTATGCATTCCATATATAGGCAAAATTGAAATAGCTTTGGCCAAAATGAAATGTTAGAATTTTGTTAGAGCAGAGAAATAGCTAGCTATAAGTAACATTGTTACCTCCATTTAGTTACTTTTGAAGGTAATATTTACAAATTTGCAAAAAAGTAATATAACATAGCAACAAAATTAATACAAATAAGTAAGTTAAATAAATAAATAAATGTAATCATTAGTAATACAATTAATAATAATTTCAAAATTTATGTTTTACGGGCATTTTAAGGCATTTCTGAAGCATTTTAACACA